GTGCAGGACCCGGCACTTGGCCTTGCTGAAAAAAAGATAAGAAGATGGATGCTAGGTCATTATTGTTGGGTTTTTCTTTTCTTTTGTAGAATACTTCTCAGGAGACTGGCTTAAGGCAGACTCTGTTGAAATAACTTGGCCTTTTTTATCTTTGCGATGTCTTTCAGATTACTGGAACGAGCACTCGGCCTTTTCAGCTTACAGTGGAAAAGCTGGAAAAGGCCTTGCAGGATGCCAGGTCAGAGGTGAGTATAGCTGAGCTTCGTATTACCGGTAAAGTCTGCAGTATGTTTGAGACAGCAGGTCTCAGAAGTGTCCTAAAGATCAAAGCACTTTCAAAATTTAGCACCTTGCTTTCTGATTGTCCTTGTAGAACACCTGAGATTAGGCTGCTTGCAAACTCAGGAGCAATCTTAGGGGGAATTGCTTGGTGTCATGTCTGTGCAATTTGGTCACAGCAGAAAGGATAAACCAGGAGCACCAGACCATTCACAAAGCACTGGAACACATTTGTATCATAGAAAAAGTCCTGTCCTTGGGCATGCACTAAAAAGTAGAGGCTACCCAGGGTTTCTCCTTCAGGAAGGCCAGCTGAGTTACCCCCAAACTGACTGCTCTGTACAGTAGTGCAGATGAATCCACTAAGACCTCTGAGAGTTTTTGCAAGAGGGAGAGAGGTGCAAATCTAGAAGATAAATGCATATTTTAGTATCATCTTTCTGAAGACTTAGCCTGTAAGTTTTGATGCTGTCCAAAGCCCTATGTCTGTTTAGCTGCATCTTTAGATCGTTACTGGCTCTGACATCTCCAGCCAAGTGTGCTCTAAATGAGAACAGTTTGCATCCATGTAGCTCAAATTCCTATCTTTCTTGCCTCCTTTGTGGGCAATTGTCAGTAATTTGTTACTTCCCAGTTACTGATGCAGTTCAGAGAAAGTTTTCTTCCATGCTGAGAATGTGTGAGAGCATCTTTCTCATTAGTTGGTTGACCAAATAACAACAGTTGTGGCAGACTCACTTTTTTCAAAATCAGAATAATTCTATAATATTTTCCTCGGTTTACTTTGCTAGTGATATAATTGTAAAAAAAAATCTTAATTTGTGGCTAAAAGTATTCTCATACAAATCTAACCTTTGAGGGGAAAAGTTAAGGTGGAAGCTTAAGGGGAATCTTGTGTCACACTCACTGCTCAAGTAGAGCAACTGAAAATTTATCCCATGATGGGCTCTCTCTTAATACTGCCTTATTTGTGTTCTGCAGGGTGTCACTGTAAGGGCCTTAATTCTTCTGAATCCCCAAAATCCCCTCGGGGACATCTACTCCTTGTCAGAGCTACGGGATTACCTGGAATTTGCAAAGAGGTAAGTCTATTGGGAAGACTGAGGCATCTTGAGTCAGATATGGCTTCCAGAATCTGGTGGACTGCTCGCTGTCCCTGAATTTGTCTTGAATATCTCTTAAGTCAGGCAAACAGTCTGTTCTTCACACACAGTGGTGGGCTTAAGAGAGGAGAGGGGAATGATGGGGACAAGGGAGCGTGGACCATGCAGTCATTTGGAGTGGCAAAGCAACTTTCATCAAGGAATGCAAGTTTTATTTGTTAGTAGTCCTAGCAAACACCATCACGCTGTGCTTCTTTGGCAGGAAACTGAGTTCCTTTCCTCTCAGTTTCTCTGTGTGAGCAGAGAAAAAGAAATATATGAATATGGTTTTCCAGCTTCATTATGGATCATGGATACCCTCTGAAATTTTGTCAAAGATGATACAACTTACTCTAGATGAGTAGTACATACAGGAGTTAACTTTCACTAGTGCATTGGAAATGACTGAATTTTTATCTCATTATATGGCTGCAGTGGGTGACAGGTGGATATATATCAAATCATGTCAATGTACACATAATAGACCTTGAGCTGTGAAACAAATGCTTCTGTTCTGCTAAACTTGGTGTCCTTCTTCTTTGTATAAAGCGAGTCTTTGCAGTCCAGAATTTATCTCTGCTTCTAAACCAGAAGCAGCCTTCTTTCGTAATCTCCATTTTGTCCTTTTGCAGACACGAATTGCATGTGATAGTAGATGAGATCTACATGCTGTCAGTTTTTGATGAATCAGCCACGTTTCACAGTGTCCTAGGCATGGACAGGTAAAATCAGCTCCTACTTCCCTGGTCATCTTCCAGTGACAGCTCAACATGATGCCTTGCTGAGAGCTTGTGCCTGGAAGTGAAGTCATGAGCTAGCAAATTCTGAATCTGCCTTACACTATTTTATTTTTTTTGTAATTACTGAATGGCAAATAAATTTTGTCAAGTGCAGTCTAGCAAGTAAAACATGGTAGTTAGTCTTCTGTTGTGGTACACTTTTCATTGTGTGCTTTGGTACTTGCTTGTGACAGTCCCCAAAACTGGAAACAGATGTTTCATTAGTTGAGGATGAGGCTTTTCTTCCTGCCTAAACATTGTTACCATTTCCCATGTTTCTGCTGATGCCTGTAAAGGCTTTCTGTTGCTGTTTGCTTTCTTTTTTTTCATACACTAGTCACGGATCACACTGTTATTACAGACTGGAAAATGGGTTTTATTAGGTGTCAGTTTAATGAGATGAGAAATTTTGCAAATCTCACCTTTTAAAAAGACAATGTTTTGGTTTTTTTTTTTTTTTAAAAAAATCTAGTTTTCACCAGTGGTGTTCAATTTCTGTTTTGTGCTCAATTGCAAGGAAATAGAATACACTTGGTTAGGTGTTAGCTCAGTGTTGCTGGGCTTGGATGTACAACATTGCAAAAGAAGAACTTTATTGCCTGCAAAATATAGGGATTTGAAGGAAAGAAAATTACTTTTAGTTCCTGGCAAATACATTGGCACAGGCCTGATTTCTAGCATTATATGTACACACTTTGTATGTGCAGGAAATCTGCGTGTGAAATATAGCCCTTGCAAGTATTTGTCTATCTGAAATATTTTAAAACTGCATCTAAAACTAGTTCCAGAGTGTTCCTAGCTTCTAAAATCAGGTTGGGTTTGAATTTTCCCTACTTGACTGATGTTCTGTGCTGCACTGTCAGTGTGTAATGCTGCCTCTCTGTTTCTGCAATGCTGCACTGGTGATCCAAAAGCTTCAGCACCTATGACACTAACTGCCCATCTGCATCCTTCTACATACAGATTGCCTGATCCACAGCGGACTCATGTGATGTGGGGAATAACCAAGGTGAGTGTTGGTTCCCACCATGCTGTGGCTTCCTGGCTGGTACGGTTGGCCAGGTGTCCTCAGGTTTCTCATGCTGGAGAGAACAAGGCAGAAGTAATAGGATCTCGGTCTTCCTGTGCAATAAAGTAGCCTCTTTGTATCTCCTGCAGGATTTTGCGGTCTCTGGGATTCGTTTTGGTACTTTATATACAGAGAACCAAGATGTTGCTGATGCAGTGGCTTCTTTGTGTTATTTCCATGGGGTTTGTGGACCTGTCCAGCACAAGGTTGCACAGCTGCTTAGAGACAGAGGTGAGTCAGTAGCTTCATGTAGGATCCTCTGCTGCTCTCTGTGTACTGGTATCTGGGGCATCCTCTCCTCTTACTTTCCCAAATGTTTGTACAGCTTAATTGACATTCTACCATAATCTTGAAGCTGCCCATGTAACATGTGGCTGACAATTCTACAAAAAAAGGAACATTTCTGCAGAGCTTCTGACCAGCAGAATTAGAGGAACAGCTCTGAAGAAGTGTGATAGCTATTTGTATAGAAATAGCCAGTATTGCCTAGAACCAGCTGGATTTCCAGCTTTGCCCTGGGTGGAGTGCAGCAACTAGGAGCTATGAATGTAGAGAAGCTTCCTCAGGAAGGTAAAAAAGATATTATTCTGCTTAGATGTGAAACTGCTAAACAGTTCTTGCTTCCCTTTCTGCTTTTTGAGGAAACAGAAAACAAAAATAGAAGGCAAACGGTGAATTGGAAAAAGGCATCGTGAGTGTTTCAGAAACCTGAACAACTCTGAATTCTTTGTCAATTTGTGATTTTTTTTTCTTTATCTATCTTCCCCTTCTGGTCAGATTGGATCAACCAGGTATACCTGAGGGCCAACCACGCCCGTCTGAAAGCTGCCCATACATATGTGACAGATGAGCTGAAGACACTTGGAGTTCCTTTTCTCAACCGCAATGCAGGCTTCTTTGTCTGGATCGATTTCCGAAAGGTTGGTACTCTTAGGAAGGAAGACTTCTCCTGGGTTGAAGGCAGGCACGTGGTGCAACTGTGTCTAGAGGAAAGATTAATGTTGTGATAAGCATTTTGTTAAAGCCACATCTGTTGTCTGATGAGCAGAGGGAAGGGCTGCCTGGTATTTCTGTCTGTTCTTTTCCTTTCGTCTGTCTGCATTTCCCTCCTTGCAGGAACTTTACTGCTCTCAAGCCACTTTCCTTCCCATTTCTTCCTTTATATCACAACTGCTGTACTTCAGAGGTAAAAGGTGTCTCCCCTGGCCTTTGCAGACCTCATGGGAATCACAAATTCATGAGGATCTCAATGAGTTAGCCTATATGTTACTAACCACTGGCCCTTCTGCTGACTCTCCTAGTACCTTAAGACAGGCACATTTGAGGAGGAGATGCTGCTCTGGAGACGTTTTCTAGATAACAAGGTCCTCCTGTCCTGTGGTAAAGCCTTTGAATGCAGTGAGCCTGGATGGTTCCGTATCATCTTTGCTGACAAGACCCACCGGCTACAGTTAGGTGAGTAATGTTTTCTCTTTTTGCTCCCACCAGAACTTCTGCAGCACTGTTTCCTACTCTCCTCAATCCTAAACTTATCCTATTATTATTCTCTTATGCTTTCTCTGTTTTTCCTCTCTTCCATTTTCCAAATTTTTCTGAATCTGATGGCTTTGGGGACACCAGTGGCTTCAACTAACCCACTAGTGTTTATCGTCTTTATACCACTGCAGGTATGCAACGGATCCGCAAGGTTTTAGAAGAGCGGGAGCAGGAGATACTGGCTGAGGAGAAGGAGCAGCCTTGTCAGTCAGATCAGGATGGCAAAGCAGATAGCACAGATGAAGTCATTTTTGTGTCCCGCCACCAGGAGCCTACCTGTGCAAGTAGCTCCAACCTTGGAGACCTCATTGGCCTCCTGCAGCAACAGATGCGTTCATCCGACTGGCTACAGAAAAATACAGCTGAGCAGTTTGCACAGGAAAAGCCAGAGATCTACGATGTGTTCAGCAAACTGCTGGGGAAGCAGTAGGGGTCAGTGTGCCTTCAGGGGGTTTTCCTGAGCAGTGACTGACCCTGGGCCCCTAACAGCTCAGCAGTGACTTTTAGCAAATAATATATTTTCTGTATAGCAAGAAAATCACTTTGTAAAACCCCTCCTCTCCCGCCCTGTTTGAAATCTCTAATTTGTATTATATAGGTGCATTCCTTGGATTGGGGTGAGGGCAGGGAATAGTGGGGATCACGTTTGCCTGCTGTCCCCTATCCTGTGGCATAATTGTATTTTATATTTAATTTCTAATGAATATGCTCTTAACTCTCTTATAAGGTCCTGTGGTGTCATTTTTTATGCTTCTGAATTC